TCCTCATTGTTTTTCCCCTCCCTCCCTCACAAACCCTTGATAATTTATAATGATTATTTTTTCATGTCTTACACTGACCGATGTCTCCTTTCACCCACTTTTCTGTTGTCCGTCCCCTAGGGAGAGGGTTATATGTTGATCATTGTGATCGGTTTCCCCTTTCTCCTCCCACCTTACCCTTACTCTCCTGGTATCAGTACTCTCAATATGGGTCCTGAGGGGTCAATCTTGACAGAGCAGTCTCAGCATTCTCCCAGGGAGTAGCTAAGGGATTTGAACTGCCAACCGTGTAGTTAACAGGCCAATGCTGAACTCACTATGGCTCCAGGTCTCCTTGTCCAATCCATACCACCATCATTGATCAGGTTCCCAAGATTCTAAACCTTTGTGGGAGCAAACCGCCTCATCTCTCTCCCCAGGAGTGGCTGGTTGGTTTAAACCACACACCGTGTGGTGACTAACCCACAGTGCCATCTAGTTCATACTACCCGCTGTCATTGAGTCAATCCCAAATCATAGTGACCCTACAGGGCAGAGTAGAGCTGCTCCCTATGGTTTCTGAGACTATAAATCTTTATGGAAGTGAACAGCCTCATCTTTCTCCTGGAGTGGCTGGTGGGTTTGAACTGCTGACCTTCTAGTTAGTAACCCAGCTCACAATCCACTATGCCACCAGGGCTCCACCTCTAAGTCAATCTCTATCTCTCACTGCCATTGAGTCAATGTACACTCATAGCAACCCTATAGGACAGGGTAGAAATGCCCCCTGAGAGTTTCTGAGACAATAAATGTTTTCAGGAGTTGAAAGTCCCATCCTTCTCTTGCAGAGGGTTTGAATTGATGACCTTGGGGTTCGGAACCCAATGATAACCACTATGCCACCAGGGCTCCTTCTCTAGGCCAGAGTAGGTGTTTAATACATACCTCCTACAAGAAAGTATACCTCAATGTCAGGACAGCCACTTCCTTGAGCTACAAAATGTTGTCCACTAAATGCCCTGCTGTACCAGGCACACAGAGAGGGGTCCTCACCACATGATGTCATGTCGGGTCCTGTCTGCTTTCATGCCCATGGCCCCTCCCTAGCAGTCTCCACCACCTGCCCCTGCAGGAGTCCAACAGGGACCTGGAGGACCTCTGCCAACACACACACACACACACACACACACACACACACCTGTTTGCCTAATTCTCTGACTTGAAACCAGGGGTAACTGCCAGCCCCTGCCAGGACTTTGGGGACTCATATTTTGTTTTCTGTTTTTGTTTTGTGTACTGCTGCAAATGCATCAATTCAGTTTTATGATGCCCCATTCTAGGGTGTCCATAAAAGTTGTTCCAACCCCATCATCTCTCAGACTTAATGAAAGGCAGAAAGCTAAGAGGCGAAGCCAAGGTATTCTTTCTCATGTTCTTTCTCCCCAGGAGGCCAGCTGTGCTCCTGGGCTGGATGCACTGGGCCCCAGGGGCAGCTTCAACAACAATTGGTGCTACCATTCTTTGTTCTATTACAGAGGGCAGCATTCCCTTCTGCCAGGCCCCTCGTGGGCAAGGTTGCCATAAAGGCAGGAGTCCGGAGGGAAAGGGATCCACAATGGCTTCAGGTTCCTCCCGCCCCTTCCCTCCCAGGCTTGGCTCACCTTTTTGACTGATAGAGGACCTGGGGGGCATCCAGGGTGGAAAGGTTGGGCTTAGCTCTGTGGATCCAGCCAGTGAGGTCGTAGCGCACAGGGTCTTGTCCCAGCTGGTGGAAGATCTCACAGTGCAGGGGCTGTTCACAGGTACGCAGGACAGGGACCTCTGAAAGGGACAACAGCAGGAATGTCAGGGCTTGCTGGGGAGGGGCACTTGACAAACTGCCAAGCCAAGTATATGCTTTTGGTTGTTGATTGCCTGGGACAGCAGAAGGGGAGGGAGAATGGAGAAGGGAGTAGGGTGTGGAATGTATGGCTAATTACCTCCATGTCTGCCTCTCGTGTCATGAGAGCAGAACTGGATGATACCCTGATTCCATTATTCCATTAGTGAATGGTGTGTATGTGTTTATTAGGTATTGAGCTGACAACCACAAAGTTGATGGTTCAAACCCGTACAAGGGAGAGAGATGAGGCTGGTTGCTCCCAAAAAACTGTCACCTCACAGGGTCACTGAATTGTAATCAACGTGGTAACAGTGGTTTGGGGTGGATTTGGGATCCCTTCTCTTTTTATGAAATCATATTAATAAAATATTGTTGTTGAGAATGCGTGGGGATATTTTAAAGTTTGTGAAAAAAATAGAGTTCAAAGATGATAAACTTCTTTGTAAGCTTTTTGAAGGACCCTCAAAAGCACAGCAGAACATACACCAATTTAATATATACCTACAGGTCAATGACATCATGGCATCCTTGCATGATGCAACCATCCTCACTGCCTTTTCTGAATTGTTCCTTTTGGTCACATACACTCACTGCTCCCTCCATCTCCTGCCTAATCTTTTGACTGCTGTTGACTTTCATTCCATTTACACAGGTCTTGAAAGAGCAGCACAATGATCAAAAAAGACATTCTTTCTGAGCCAGGCTAAACTAGTATTTGGTTTTAAGAAGACTTCAGAGGGCATTTGTGGTTTAAGCTTGAACAATGATCTTAGAACAATCATTTCCAGGGCTCACCAAGCATCTATGGCTCAAAAAATATCTGGAGTTCATGGAATGCCAGTTCGCTATTTCCCCCC